AGCAGTGTATGGATTCTGATCCAAAGAAACGATCTAATGGGTTAGTGTTTTCGAAACTCATCAGCATGCGAAAGGTAATCAACAATGACCAGCCAACCAATAGATGCGTGACTTTTTAAATTAAACAAATACTTGTAAACCTTATTTTCGCTGTCTCAAAAAAAAAAAAAAAAAAAAAAACACTCAAAAATCTTGCCTATTTCTGTCAATCCATAAGTTACAGTTAAAGATACTAAGCCAATTTTCTTTTTAATTTTACGAATAATGATTGTATGCGTGGTGAATAAGCTTTTTATTATATTTAATATTTGGAATTTGAATTATATTGACGAATAGTAAATGGTTGTATAAAAATTGAATTATCGTTAGAGTTAATATGTTTTTCAATTATCTCATGAACTTATTTTTCCTTTATGCTTCGATTTTGCAAACAGCATATGATCTAACTTTCCACAAATTCAGTATCAAAATACGACTAAATCCATTTTAACAATACTTCCTCTGTGCACACCATTATCTTTTTTTTATTAATTGATTAATGTTAGTTAGACATTTTGTTATTAATTGATACTCCTCAATGTAAATAGACATCTACTTAAAATAAATATCAAGATAAAAAGTTTACAAGCACAAATCAATAATTCGCATGGATATGTGTGATATTAAGGGAAAGACTAGGCCACGATACGTATATATTTTTATATGATCAAAGTCTGGTTTTTCCTTGGCATCAACCATATGTGTGAATTGAGCGGATCGGATGAATGAATATGTGTAAATTGAACTAAATTGAACAGATTGAATCACCAGCCATAATTCATTTGGTCATAATGAACGTTAATATGACTTTATGACCTTTTATTATACCGTATATAATCAAAAATTTTTATAATAATCAACTATGGCCTATGACCAAAAAGTCATATGATTATGTTAAGAACATGGAAAAAAAATATTTTAACTTAGATCATTTGGCAAATACTGGCTACGCCATTGTAATAATAATGTAAGAATAAAAAAAAAATCATGACATATTAAAAACCATAGTCCCGGTTTTTTTCAATAATACATGTAAGAATAAAATAGCAAAGTGCAACTTTTATGACTGTAGTTGATTGCTTGTCTCTTCCTGTGGAATAAAGATAGGTGGATTACCATATCTTTTGATCGCAATGATTGCAGCTGTTGATAATAATATAAGTCCAGCAATTCCACCAAATATGCCTCCTATGATTGCTCCAATATTAACATATAATGAATCATGTGAAGTATTAGATGTTGGTGATGGCATTACAGATGTCGCAGAAATTGATTGGGGCCGTTTGGTAGGGTCATATGAAGTAGACCATTTATAATTATCTTTTTGACTTACATCGAGAAGAAAGACATCATTTGTGAAATTGTGGCTTATATCTAAAATTGAAAATTAGTATTGAATATTAAATAATCATTTATAATTTTGTACTTACAATCATTTCCAAATGCAATTAGAATATAAGCGCCAATTAGTGTTGAAGTAAAACGAATCAATTTATATTGAGAACCACCGTTATTTGAAATTGTAGGAGATGACCATACGAATTTCAAGGTATCAAGTGCAATAAATGAAGAATCAGGATAACCATAAAATATTAAAATCTGATTATACTGAGCTACATTTACAATAAAAAAAGGAATGTCATCACATAATCGAAAATATAACAAATCAAAGGTAATAAATGGCACATACGTATAAAGACTGATCCGTGGTCGCTACGTGAGTAAGGAATGTTCCCAGATGTAGTCTAAATATATCATAAATGATAAGTGTACATAAATAACCTAAGAATCATGATTTTTGAGTGTTTTTTTTTTTTTTTTTTTTTTTTTGGTGAGGGAAAAAAAAAAATAAAAGTTTTTTTTTTATTTAAAAAATTACCCCTCGTTTGTTTTGGTGGGTTTTTTTTATTTTTTTTT